ACGTACGTACGTATGTATGTATGTATGTATGTATGTATGTATGTATGTATGTATGTATGTATGTATGTATGTATGTATGTATGTATGTATGTATGTATGTATGTATGTATGTATGTACGTACGTATGTATGTATGTATGCATATATGTATGCATGTATTTATGTATGAATATATATTAAATATCTCTATAAAAGCTCGAAATTTTGTCAATTTTTCATGATTTATAAGTTATATATATGTAATATATATATAATTTTACCAAATAATTGAATACACATAAATTATTATTCAATATCTCAAACATAATATAATTATATCATTATTATTATTTTATTATTATAAATAATTACTTGATACTGTAAACAACTTATATACTAACACTCTTCATTCTGTTTGAATATCGCTCGCTTGAATTTTTCATAAACACTTAGTTCCTGTGTAAACTTATCTCTAGACAACTAACTAACTAACAATAATAATAATAATAAAATAAAAATATCAATATCAATAACAACAACAATAATAATAATAATAATAATTATTATTATTAAATAATAATAATTATTTTTTAAATTATATTATGAAAACGATGAAGCTATTGGCTGCGTCTTTCTTACTGGTCATCTGTACAAATTGGGCATTTGACGTCCGAAGGTTTATTTTAGAAAATTATTTTTTAAACAGTATATACTACCACCATTACTACTTCTACTACTACTGTTGCTACTACTGCTACAACTGCTGCTACAACTACTACTGCTGATACAACTACTACTGCTGCTACTACTTCTACTGCTGCTGCTGCTGCTACTACTACTACTACTACTACTACTACTACTATTACTAATGACGATGATTGTGATGGTAATGCTCATTATTGTTATTTTTATTAGTTATAGTAAGTAGTAGTAGTAGCAGCAGCAGCTGCAGCAGTAGAAGTAGTAGTAGCAGTAGTAGTTGTAGCAGCAGTAGTAGTTGTAGCAGCAGTTGTAGCAGTAGTCATATGCACGAATCGGGCTTTTGATCTTAGACAGTTACAGAGTTTTTGAAAAATTATTTCAAAATTATTATTTATAAGACTATTACTACGACTACTACTACTACTACTACTACTACTAATAATAATAATAAGGATAATAATTTGTATATCCTTGTACAAGATACCCCACAAAGTACAAGGAGCTGAATAAACCGCAGCAACAGCAGCCAGCAAGTAATGATAATGATGTCGATGATGGCAACAATGATGATGATAATGATGTTCCATCATTTGACCAACAGCAACAACAACAACAACATCAACAACAACAAGAATACCAAATAAAGAGAAGATCATTCAAATTATGTTATTAAGACTATTATTTTGTTTTACTACTACTGCTACTACTACTACTACTACTACTACTACTACTACTACTACTACTACTACTACTACTACTACTACTACTACTACACACACTCACACACACACACACACGCAGACGACAACTCGAGATACGCACACGGATACGGAAAACGAACCAACCCACTCCTGGCCCCTTCAACTCGGATGACGTCACACGAGGGCTGGCACGCCGATGGTGGGGTTTTTAATCTGTAATGGTCAATGGTTGTTTGTTTAAAGCGTTGACTTGCTCGCATTCGAACTTGCCTCTCTGATTTGTCAGAAAACATTGAAATAATTAAAGTTTTAACTAATTAATTAATTCAATTAATCATTTTAATCAATTAATATTTTAAATCAGTGAATTAATTTGCTATACGATTTGTTAGAGGTGCAGAGAGGAGTGAGAGAAGGCAGTCAAAAGCGCAGTCCTAAACAGTCTAGGGGGAAAGACATCGCTAAAATGTGTAAATACCACAATTTTTGTGTAAAATTTGTACCATGACACACACACACGCACACACACGCACACACACGCAGACGACCACAGAAGATACGCACACGGTAACGGAAAGCGGACCAGTCCATTCCTGGCCCCACCAGTCGGTAAATACCACAATTTTTGTGTAAAATTTGTATCCTGATATGCATATCACACTACACACACACACGCACGCACACGCACATTTTGGCAGACGATTCCAACAGACTTTCTATCAGGGGTCAACTGTCTCCAGTTTCAGAGCCATCGATACTAATGAAATCGAGAACCGACAGATACTCTGACGAGTATTTACCGATTGAATTCCGCCATCCCTACAACGGTGACGACGATGATTATGATGAGTGTTGGTTGGATTATGATTGCAGCGATGACGAAGAAGATGACGACGATGATGATGATGATGGAGATGATGAAAAGGGCGCGAAAATTTAACTGAAATTAACACCAAAACCATCCTCATTATTATTATTATTATTTTTATTATTATTATCATTATTATTATTATTGTTATTGTTGTTGTTGTCAACAGATGATGACGTCAATGCAGTTTACAGTGACGATTCGGTGAGCATTTGAAGCCATCAGAAACGAAAACGACGTTCTTCAGATTGTGTAACTTAATTAGAACTATTTTACTGGTCGAAAAATTCAAAATAAAATAATAATGATAATAATAATAATAATAATAATATTTTATAATTATTATTGTTACCGATGACAATGCAATACCGACGATGAATAATAAACAATGGAAACTGACTGTTCATTGAAGTTATTAATCATATTAATCATATTAATCATAACTTTACTCTGAGTGGAAAGTAATATACGTACATGCGCCTTTTAAACAATTACTATTACGACTATAATAATTATTTATTTTATTATTATATTTTATTATTATTATTAAAATATATATAATAATATAAGACTGTAATAATAACAACAATAATAATAATAAAAATAATAATATAATAATAATAATATTGATAACAATACTATTACTAATAAAAATAGCAGCAACAAGGACAACAACAACAATGAAAACAACAACAACTACTACTACTACCACGACAACAACAGTATAAATAACCACTAGCCAATAAATAATTTTTCATTTTTAGATTGCCAAAAGAGGCCAAAAAATACTAAATTACCAAAAAACTAAATATAAACCTCCTAGTACAATATGATTAACCAAAGATTCTTCACAAGCAAGAAATAAATTATACATTTCTGCGTTTTCACATCGGTACAAATCAATAAAATACCCTTATACATATTTTTGTATGTATGTATGTTTGTTTGTAAATATGTTTGTTTGTATATATATATGTATGTTTGTTTGTATGTATGTATGTATTTTGTTTGTATGTATGTTGCTTGCTCTTTTAGGCATGAGCTCTGCCTTTGATTGTGCCAATCCTTTGTCACTTTTACGCAAGCTCCAGTATTCATTCGGAGTATCGGGCGATGTTTCTTAGTCGATTGAGTCACACCTTTCAGGTCTTACACAGATAGTGATTAGATCTAACTTGACACATGTTGAAACTTTGTCATACGATGTTCCACAGGTGTCGGTTCTCGGCAGTCTCATGTATGTGCTGTACACTGCAGATGTATTCAAAATCATCGACAGATATAATTTCAAAACATCACGGGTTTGCTGATCATTGCTAGTGCCCTCTTTTGTCATTTTGTAAGTTTTTCATCGTAATCTCTGGTTGGGGCAGAACCATTTTGTACCATTCATCCAAGTATTCATTCATGCATTTAATTATGCATGCATTCATCCATTCATCCATTCATTCATTCATCCATTCGCAGATTTACTTATTCGATTCCAACACATCCCTATTAATACCTCGTTGACATGACAACCGTCATACATACACATGTTCAGACCTGTTCAATCTTACACATATACATACATGCATGCATACATACATACATACATACATACATACATACATACATACATACATACATACATACATACATACATACATACATACATACATACATACATACATACATACATACATACATACATACATACATACATATATACATACATACATACATGCATTATTTACAAATTTGATTTCGGTGTTACACGTTTGTATATTTCCTTAAAAGTATTACACATTGAGTTTGTTTTGTTGCATTAACAACGTCATCAACAACAACATCAAAACAACATTAACATCAACAACAACATCAACAACAACATCAACAAAAACATCAACAACAAAAACAACAAAAACATCAACAACAAAAGCGAAACTGTTAGACATTTTTTTTAACAACTTCAATAACTGCAACATTCTCTCTTTAACTACTATAATATAAACAACAACAACAAAAACTGTATTAATAATAATAACATAAATAATAATAACAAACTACCACTACTACTACTACAACTGGAAAATCGATTCATCAAAACGTTTGAGGATTTGGGGTAAGAATTTTTTATTTTACCGAGAGTCAAACAATAGAGACAGCAAGTGTACATTACTACTACTACTACTACTACTACTTCTACTACTACTACTACTACCTACTACTGCTGCTACCACTACTGCTTCTACTACCGCTGCTATTATCACAACCTTTGAGGCTTTTGCTGCTGCCTCTACTACAACCACCACCACTACTACTACTACCACTACTACTACTACTACTACTACTACTACTACTACTACTACTACTACTACTACAACAACAACAACAACAACAATAATAATAATAAAAACAAAGGAATAATAATAATAGAAACAAAGGCAAAGACTTCTGGATCGATACGTCAAATTTTGCGGATTTTCAAAATTATCTTCTTGTCAGATCAGTCAAGTTGACAAGCTGACTAATAAGAAAAAACAACAACAACAACGTCATCAGTAACAATAACATCGACAACAACAACATCATCGCCAACAACAACACAACAACTTTATAAAAACATTAACAACAGATAAAAACATTAACAACAGATAACAACATCAACAACAAAACAGCACTGATCACCCAAAAAACTGACCATCAACAACAGAGACCTTCAGCAAACAAAAAAAAATATGACCGACACTCCAAATTTCTTCTCGCGAATCCGACCTGAAGGTTCCATATACGCGCAGAGGAACAAACAAACTGGAAACTGGTTCCGACACGACGACAACGACGACCTTGACCTTTCAAACTGCCTGACCGTCAGATCGGTAAGCAACACTCCGAGAATCATGTCATCCCGTCAGCAAAACAATCGCGACCACCACCACCACCACCAACAACAACAACAATCTATAAACGCCGACGCCCATCAAAATACCCGTAAACAATTCAACCTGGCCGATCAGAGCACGAACTGGTACAACCATGAGAAGAACAAAAACTACAGACCGCCTTTGAACGTCAGGTTGAGATCGGATGATGCAAAAACTATTAAACAAAAGCAAGAAACGCAGTCCTACACTTCAAGCAACCACAACAACAACAACAACAGCAACATCGTCAATATTGATGCGATCGGGTCTGATAATATAATTTTTTCGCGTAGTGGAATAAATCGAAATCAAGTTGAACTTAACAGCAACAAAATCAGAGGGAAGCACCAAACACCGAACTGGTTCACTCACCCAGAGAACGGCGAACTGAACGAGGAAGGCAAACAAGATGGTGATGAAGAAGGGGAATTGGACAAACCTCTCAAAACTCGACTGACAAATGGTGATGCACTCGCGTACAAAGAGAGAAACGTCAATGGTTACGCGGGTGATTACATGGTTCAAGATGAAAATTTCGCGGAGAATGATAATGTGGAAACAACCGATTGGAGGCCCGAATCTCGAGTTGGTGCCCACCCGAGAGCAGAATCTGACGTGTGGTTCCTCCACGAAGAGCAGTCTGACCACCGACCTCCAACTGCTGCTCGTCCGCTACGCTGTCCATCAAGGGTCGCCAGAGAAACTTATGAAAGATCGCAGGGAAGAGAAATGCTTAAAATATTTCAACACTGCACTAGCACAGACAGTTCAAATAAAAGTGAAAATTTAAGTATTCCTGATGATGCTACTTCAAACGTTGAAAGAGTGGAGAACCCCGTCCAGCACAAACACAACGACGGCAGACCTTACATGAATGAAGCTCATCGTAGAAATGTGGTAGGCAGCATGAAGTCGGTGCTGAATCAAAATGAAAACGACAGCTACGTCGATAAACCTCACTTCCAGAGAGCCGTCAAGCCGGAAGGAGTTGCAATCAGTGAGAAGAATAGAAGAGGAGTCATGGATGAGTGCATGAAGGGATACTTGGACAATGCGCCTGCCAAGCAGATCCACAAAACAGCAAACGTCAGTGAAGACTTCTTAAAAATGCAGAAAGGTCAAAACATGGCGTTAGCACTGGTTGGAGATTTGCCGGCTGCAAATAAATTCCAAGCTCTCAGAACCATTAAACCGGAAGGATTAGCAAACGCCAAAAGAAACCAAGGATCGATAAAGAACGTTTTCAATAATTTGACTGCCTCTCAAAATAATTTGGATGACGACAAACAGGTTGGCCAACAACGTCTTAAATCTCGTGAAGCAAAGGCAATTGCAAAGCGATATCATTACGGAAGTATGAAGAGTCTCTTGCGCTGAACGGAATATTTTATTTGATTCAAACATTCGAATTAAGCTTTCAATTTGTTTTACATGCATTAAGATTAAAAGTTAACAGTTTTAAGATTCACTAATTTTAATGTTGACCAATGTAATTGTCATTCAATGTGTATTCAACTGTGAAAACATCTTCAACACAAGTTCATTGAAATCTTATTTAACAATCATTCAAATAAATAAATATACTACGCAATAAGTTGAAAAATTAAATAATTTGAAAAAAATTTATAATCAAGTAATTGTTAATTCTTATTTTTTGTCCGATTTCAAATGCGAGAAAAAAGCTAAAAATTTATTTCGCGCTTTTTGTTTCGGCATCTTCAGACTGTGCCTCCCTAACGTATTTACGGTCTTGGATTTAATTTTTTTAGATTCTTTTTTGTTGGAATTTTCTACAATTTCTACAAAATCTGTTTTATTCTTCTCTTCATGTCTACATTTTTTATCAACTTTATCGATCAAACTGTCCAAACTGGACCTGCTCAGTGACCCATCTAGCTTGCAGAGATCTTGCGCGCTTTTATACTTTTTGGAAGTGTCAAAAACAGGACTGACCGTGTTGATGAGTGGCGGTGAGTTTTGGCTACTGGCGCTATTATCCGTTTCTAAACTGGCGGAACTCGAGGTCACTAAGCGAATATCTGGCTTTATATCTGTCTTTTTTCTTGGCAGACTCATTGAACTTCGACTAAAACTAGTAAAATCGGCCAATTTTTTATGTTTCGGTGAAAATTTTATTTCGCCGCTAGGTGGAAAGATATTATTTCGCTGGGCAAACATCAAAATGGCTGGACTGTTTGGTGCTGTTAAATTTGAGTTCGATAATTTGGAGACGGAAGTTTTGGGTTTCAAGAATGTGAATAACTTTGGTAGCTCCGCGTGTTTCGACAGCTGGTTGTAAACGTCGGACGACGCCACGCGGATCTCGGCGTCGTCGATATGTTGTGATGGTTGCTGAAATAACCGATCGAACTGTTGAACGGTCGCATTCGTGCAGGGCTCTAAATCGAGAATGTAATGGCGACGATCTTTCTCATTTTTCGGTTTGTAATTTGATAAGACTCCAGCTGCTGACGAGCTGTTTTCCGCTGGAGGAATCAACTTCATCGTGATTATATGTCCGTCCTGTCGGCCGCAAAAAATTACATATCCGCAATCCATGGTCTCCAGAGATGTGACGTTTTCGTGAAGATTCGATTGAGCTATCAAATGACCATTCACAACACTGCCCACCTTCATAAGGTAGGTGCTCTCTTCAAACCAGATGCAGTACAGACCGTCATATGTCAATCTCACTAGTTTCGATTTCGTTGTTTCAACGGAATTTAATTTCTCAGTTGAGTCTTTGAGGTTACTGACATATTGAAATTTTTTGACTAGGACGCCTGTGTTTATATCGTACACCTGCAAGAGATCATCTACAGCCAGCTGGCCGTTCTTAGAAACATCGGCGAAACCATTCTTGCTTATGTTTTGCATCTCGCATTTAACTCTGCCCGCTCCGTGGAAGTCCCACACTGATACTTTTGAAAAGTTTTCTTTGAATGACGTAACCAGGATGCAGTGATGCTTCAACGGAATGCACGTTAATTTGTTTGGAAAGATTTGAACCTGACATTTGGCTGGAGCGAAGTTAATTAGGCTATAAATAATAATGTTCACTCCAGCGTCGATGTACAGCAAGTACTGACTATCCAAAGTAAAAATCGGATTTTTGGCCTCCTGGAAGCTGACGATTTTTTTATTATTCTTAACATTCCAAAGAATGACTTCATCCTCATTATCGAGACTGGCGTAGGAGGCCATGTACTCCCAGTCGGGACCAAACTCGAACTGCTTGCACTGCCAATCCACATCGTGACCCGCCGCACACTGAACTTCGTCTTCGTATATATTCAAAACCACCACATACCACTGACTGAGCGAGTTCAAAAGCAAGGCGAGGTACTTTCCATCGTGCGAACACTTCATCTCTATCAGACGTCCGTATTTGAAAAATGGTATAAAACATTTCCAATTTCCAGTTGACACGTTCCAAACATCGATAGCAAATCGGTCGAAAAACTTGTAACCATTTGAACTAGAATTCAGTCCGTAATATGATTTAACGTACACGAGTCTGTTGTTAGTATCGCACGCCGTGCAGTCGATGGGGTTCGTGTAAACTTTCAGATCCGATGAATCCACATTGTCAGTTCTGTCCAGATCCCAGACCCTAACCGCGGTATCTATCGTTGATCCGGTCGCCAGAATATTTCGAGTTTTCGAGACGCACCACGGGTATGGAAAGTCACTTGTGGAATGAATTGTTATTTTTTGAAGAAACTCACCAGTTTCACTTTTCCATATGCTCAAAAAATTGCTGTGACTTGCCAGAACCAACGATCCATCGTAGTTATACACGGATTTGTTAAATCCGGATGTTGGCTTCATTCTCGAAGAGCGTTTGTTGCTGTCTACCTCTAGCTTCATTCCGGTTGAGATGTTCGTTTTAACGCTGTACGAAATTAACGAGTGATTGCAGACGTTTATTAAAACTAAGTAGGAGTTGCTCGTGCACAGGCTGATGTCCCATATCTCCTGCATCAAACCAGACATTGAAATCGAAGATGGCACGAAACAGTTGTTTAAGTACTTCGAACAGTCAAACTTCAACAACTGCTGACCAAATGTATCACTCGATTTATCAATATCGTATGCTGAGAACAGCAAGCTAATAGCCGAACCGCAGTAGCAAACTCGACTATCTTCGGTCACTCGCATGACGTTGACCGTGTTTTCATCCGCATTTTTTAAACATTTTATTAACGTGCCATCTTTAATATCGAACATTTTGATCTCATCTGATTCAGCCAGTAAGATTGATTGGCCATCTGGCGTAAGAGTGCACGCCACGTAGTTTCTATTGCTCGTAAACTCTTCAATTCTTTTTATCTGTTCGCCCTCCTCGATATCTATGATACTTTTTTGCCTGCAAAATAAGTTACCGGCGACAAATCCTCGCCTGGTCGTAGCTTCCCTGGAGCCACATTTCGAAAGTATTTGACCGATTTTCGTGTCCAGCACAAATATCGGACTTTCATTGAAATCTGAATCAACGATGAGATACTTGCCATCTTTTGACTGAAACAATCGAGTTAACCTGCCAGGATTCAAAGATGATATATCGATAGTTCGACTTCTTTCTCCTCCAACCAAATCCCAAAACGCTAGATATCCATCTTTGGATACTGAAATCAACTCGTTGGTTTCGTCGTTGATTACGATATCACTAACCTGCTGGTTGTGACCCTCTAAAACAAACAGCACTGCCAATTTAGGCGGTTCAAAGCACTGTTGAAGAGGAATGAGGGCTGAATGTTTTAGGGATTGTTGGTCGCATTGTTGCAGCAGCCTTCTGATGTTGTGGTACCTCTCGTGGTCGTTGTAGTAGTGCAACAGTCTGCCAATGAGATCCAAAGCCAGAGATCTCGGGTTGGAATTTATTTGAGACCCGCTCATCCTTAATGCGCTGTACAAAAGTGAGATGTCTTCTTTGTTGTTGTACTGTTGAACGGTAAGCGTAAAATCTGAAATGGCGTCGTGTAACGAGAGGGCAGTCAGTTTGGTGTAGAGCCATTCGTAATTGAACAGAACTTGTTGCGTGAGATCAATGTACATACGACTTTCAAGAAGATGATACGGCAACTCGCAGAGTTTTCTGAGATTATAATTAGGCTTGGCGCCGGCATTATTTTCAGAAACATCGCAACTTGTTCTACCAAAAACTAGCGGTTGATTCGGAACTTTTCTGTCTTCCGAGCCTTCAAAATTACGCGTAGCCATTAATTTCATTTGTTTTTCTGGACAGGTGTATGCTTTCTTTCTTCCGCCACCCCACGTTCCGAGAAAGTAATGAGCTAAAATATGATGAATATACGTCTTGTGGGTCCCGTTCGATAAATATCTTTTCTTTGCTACATCGATGAACTGAGCGTGGTACCAATAGTAAACCATCGTTCCATTTGTTTCCCTCTGAATGATGTAACTAGAAAGTTCGAGTTGCAACCGAGGTACAAGGAGAGGTGGAATTCTTCTAAGTGGAGGCAGCCAGTGTTGGAAGACATCATTCAGTACTTTATCGTCTAAGGAGAGGACATCTTCTAGCTCCACATCGCTTAAACCTTCTCGTGATGCGGTCAGATAAGAAAGCGAATGCGCAACGAAGACTTCTCCGTGGTCCAGCTCAATCCGATCGAAGAGTGAGCTGATGATTGTTTCGATCGTTTTCTCGATGACCGTTTGATCGGGCGTGTAGTAGGACCTCCACTGTCGAATCTGTTCGAAGACCAACGTTGTGTACAATGGTAAACTGCAGTTATCCAGGGCATCTTCAACTATTCGGAACTGTACCTCGGTTAACCCGATGCCGGTAGCGTCGAGCCACTCTTTGATGAGATCGAAACTGAGTTGAACACCCAGCGGTTTGATTTCCTCAAAGTTTTTGTGCCTCACATCGGCCAGTTGGGTTGATAGGATTGAAAAAATTCCGTATTTATCCGGAACCGTAGATACAATAATTCTCGAATAATCGGGTAAGTAGAAAGGCAGCCAGGCGAGTCCGTGGGCTCTATGAGTCGAAGCCAACTGGTCCAAACCGTCAAATATTAACACCAACGGTCGTGCTTCGCTAGATTTCTAGAATTTAAACAATTTATTTAAAAAAATTTAAAAGTTATTTTAAATTTTAAAACTTATTTTTGCTGAAAAAAAAATTAATTTTAAAACTGAGAAAGAATAAATTACCTTCAATAACTCGTGAAAGTAGAAGACGAGGCCAGGATAATCGGATGGGATATCGTTGGCTGGCAGGTCGTAGGCCCTCGCAATCTGCCAGCACACACTGCCCAACATCAGCCGGACACTGCAACTATAACATGTTGTTCCTGAAATCACATTTCAAATAAACATCTCAAACAAACATTTCAAATAAACATCTCAAACAAACATTTCAAATAAACATCTCAAACAAACATTTCAAATAAACATCTCAAACAAACATTTCAAATAAACATCTCATACAAACATTTCAAACAAATATTTCAAACAAACATTTCAATTCTTACGTAATCAAATCATTTAAATTAATTTCAATAGTTAAAGGAATTTAATCAATTTTAATGCAGTTGGAAATATAGAAGCGATTTAACAGAACTGAACGTCAAAATTTGTAGGAGTTTGAAATTGAAACATAGCAATCTCACCTAAGAATCTGAAAACGACAACTGGGTCAGTGCCATTGTATTCTTGATACCAGCTCCTTGCTTCGTGTGCTACCTGGCGAATGAAATACCATTTCCCAAACTTATATTTTTGCATTTGATTTGTTTCAAACTTCTACTGCACGTACACACAAACAAACACACGCATACATAGACAAACACATACATACACACATACACATATACAAACACACACACACACATCTACTAACCTTGGCACTGACCGAAGTCTTTCCACAGCCTGACTCACCAAACAACACAAGAGGCTTATTTGGAGATGAGGACGATGACGAAGTTGATGGCGTAGGTAGGGATGTGCTGTTTGATGTTGGTGACGTCAAATAGAGACGAACTTTGTTGAGGGCGCCATCTCGCCCCCTTAAACTTTCGCTACGACACTTGCACATCTCCAGTTGTTGGACTATTTCAACCATCTTCGGCATGGAGTTGATTTTGTTGATTTTCTGGGCCGATTTGTTAATCAGCCATTGCATTTTTTCGCGAAATGAGTCACAAAATATTCGCAAGTATTCGTCGTCCTCTGCCGGGTCTCGATTAACGCTGTCGGTCCATTCCAACTGGAATTGAAATAACGTGAGAAAAAATTTGAGAACTTTCAGCTGACATTTATGTTGATACTATGATTTTAAATTATAGAAAAATAACAATTTTTTCATTTCAAACATTAATTGAACATTAATATATTAAATTTAAAAATAATAGCAGAAATTTAAGATATTAATAAATAAACTACGAATATTAATGAAAAAAATAGAGATGCACCTTAAAATATTCGTAATTCCTTTCATCGGTAAGTCGGTTAGCGATTTTTTCGTTGAGTAGTTCGTTGAGCAGGTGCTGGGCGTTTAAGTCGATTTCGTCAGTGTTGGAGTCGAGAAAATCCAAATACAACCTTGGAAGATATAACACGCAGTATTCTAGTATGACTATAGCACAAGTGTTTTAACATAGCGTCATCATATGTAAATGTATTATATATGCATAGCAGTTAAGTGCATTTGCACTCGGGTACGTACTAAAGTACCGAAATTTTGTACTTAAACACCTAAGTACCTGTAAAAATTCGTCCTTAGATTCTAATACTCTAGTACTTTTTTATAATTTGTACTTATAAATGGTATGTTTTTTCGCAAAGACAGTGTATGTAAGCGAACTTCTCACAACGCATCACACAGATTGCGTGTGATAAGTGTGGATCTCTTCGCAATCAAACCTGGTCACTGCTGCATCGGTGCCAAGCATCTTAACTATTACACTATCGTCTCATCTAATTTATATAGCGCTTCATGAAATGTTTTTCAAATTAGAAAATGAAATACCTCGCTCTTGGCATGTGACGATTTTGTTCGAGGTTTTCAACCGTTCTGACGAAGCAAAGGCATGTGTCTAGTGAGTCTTCTACGTTCAATAGACCTCTTTCTATTTCATACTCTGTAACTGTGTTGTGTTTGTTTGTGTGTGTTTGTTTGTGTTTGCTTGTGTTTGTTTGTTTGTGTGTTTGTTTGTGTGTTTGTTTGTTTGTGTGTGTGTTTTGTTCATGCAGCTGTTCCCTTGTAATTCTATCTCTTCTGATACTTACCTATATCATATGTTGGAGCTGTTGTCGTTGCTGTGTTTATCTCACCATCATCGTCATCATCATCATTATCATCATCCTCTTCATCATCATCATTACCATCATCCTCTTCAACATCATCATCATCATCCTCTTCATCATCATGACCTATGAACCTGAAACGAAATATTTATTTGCGGCCTCTGGGGAGAGCTTGCTGCCTCCCAGACACAAGTTGGCACCCTTCCTTAAGATGTTCAGCAGCTGAAGGCGTATTCGATCCCAGACTCTTTGCGCTGCTCTGTGCTTCTCTTGGTTTTCCTGATGATGATGATGGTGATGGTGTTGATGATGATGGTGATGACGGTATTAGTGGTGGTGTTGATGATGGTGATGAGGATGGTGGTGTTGATGATGGTGATGAGGATGGTGGTGTTGATGATGGTGATGAGGATGGTGGTGTTGATGATGGTGATGATGATGAAAAAAAAATTTATAACGATTAACTATGTTTTATCTTTTATAGAGTATTAAATCAAATTTCCACAAAATCACATGCACACAGACACACACGCATGTGGCAAAAGAAATGCATCACACATGTTCACAGAACCGTCTTGCAGTTGAAGCCAGTCAGTGCGACGCGGAATACAGACTCTTTAACCATTACACTAAATTTCAACGATCGTTAGATTAAGAAAACAAAAGTAGGTCAAATAATTTGACCTCATTCCCGAAATCTGGTAGGAGAGAGCTGATTGGCTGGAGGACGTATTCGTAGGGTAGAACATTTGTGTCTTTGCGGAACCAATCGTCAAGTAGTTTGATCTCTTCTAGCGTAACTGACGTTGTTGTTGTTGTTGTTGATGTTGTTGTTGTTGTTGTTGTTGTTGTTGATGTTGTAATTGATAATGGTTGTGATGACGATGTTGTTGTTGATGATAATGACGATTGAGATGATGATGATGTTGATGGTGTTGTTGTGGCTAACGATGATTCTAATGTTGTTGTTGTTATTATTGTTGGTGGTGATGATGTTGCATCATCATTATCGGCAGCAGCAGCAGTAGCAGCAGGAACCACATTTGCCAGTAGTTCATCTCTGATAGCTTCAAACTCGTCCGAGACGATGATTGGCGGGAAAGGACGGAACCCATATTTTTGCCCCAGTAAGACCTGAAAAAATTATCCATTTATCCAAATTATCGTCATCGTCATCATCTACATCATCATCATCATCATCATCAGTAATCTTTTTAGTAGTAGTTGTAGTAGCGGCAGCAGCAGCAGTAGTAGCAGCGGTAGCAGCAGCAACGTCATCGCCAGCATCATTATTGTGATCGTCATCGTTTGTTGATGTACGTATTTTTTATTACATCGTTATTATCATCATTGTTTTCATCGTTATTCTAATTATCTTCATCAGCCTCATCAACATCAACATCTCATCATCATCATCTCATCATCGTCGTCTTCATCATCATCATCATCATCACCATCACGGCCGCCATCTTCACTAACAACGAAATTAGGACCGATGGACATGTTCCGGCAGTTCTCAATCTCCTTCAGGCAGAAATCAATGATGGTATGGTTGTCGTGTGCCTCTTCGCGTATACCCCAGCGCAAGTCTACCATCTGGCGAAAAATAATTCTCGGTTTTTCAAAATAAATTCTAAATCAATCAATCAATCTTCGTTTATTTATTTATTTTTTTCTTCAAAGACAGCGTCCAGAGACCCGGTTTTCCGAGGTAGGACTTTGTTTTCATTGCCATCAACTTTTTGCGCCAAATTAGACGATCAGTTGAATCCATTTCATTTAAAATGGAATGAATAAATAAAATGGTGATTTTGATAGTGTAGTGGTTATGGCGTCTGGTTTCTACGCTGCAGTTGTCGGGTTCAATTTCAAAAGGTTTTTGTCTGTCATTTTGTTGTATGTATGATTGAATGGATGAATATTAGAAAAATTGAATGAGTGAATTAATGAATGTATGAATGAATGAATGAATGAATAAATGATTGATTGAATGAATGAATGAATGAGTGAATGAATGAATGAGTGAATAAATGAATGATTGATGTAATGAATGAATGAATAAAAATAAACCTGAAATTCTAGTCTATAAGTTTCTCTACAAAAATTTTTCAACTCTGGGTATACACTCTCCATTAAAACGTTTCTCTCATGCACCATGTCTGAATGAATGAATGAATGAACGAATGAATGAATGAATGAATGAATAAATGGATAGATGAACGAATGAATGAACGAGTGAATGAATAAACTCACCGGAAAATGTAGAACTTATAAAAACACGGACGATCTTTGAAGAAAGTTGAGGACAAACCTTCATCTCACCGCAGACTAATGACCGCACTATACTTTCAACATCATCATCATCATTCCCAACATCGTTATCATTATCAATACGTTTATTATTTTTATTATTATTATTTATATTATTATTATTATTATTATTTACAGTATCCGTATAATAAGGGCTGCTTTTGAGGCTGGTGTGGCTAACTTTGTTACTACAACTACTACAATCGTCGTCGTCGTTGCTGTTATTCGTTGGTTGGTTGTTGTTGTTGATGTTGTATTGATGACAATCTTTTGTACAAGCCCCAAGGTTTTTGGGTGGAAACTCTTAATTCGGACATTATGATTATTATTGTTGTTTATTATTATTGTTGTTGTTGATGTTGTTGTTGTTGTTGCTGCTGCTGCTGCTGTTGTTGTAATTACTCCATTAAAACTATGCTATGAATAAAGTATCCAAAATTTTTTCAAATTTTAAAGCAAAATTTTCAAAACTTGGAAAATAATGAATTGAAAAAATTTTTTCTACTTCAATTGCAGCCAAATTAACGGAACGAAATGCATGCACGCATTTTTGTTTGTTTGTATGTATATATGTTTGTATGTTTGTTTGTTTGTATGTACGTATCTAAATGTGTATGTTTGTTTGAATGTATGTATGTAATTTTTAATACAAATGATAATAAATTAATGTAGTTAACTGAGCTTTCATTTAAATAGGTATGTGAGAGTACCGCAAACACATACATTTATACATACATAAACACACACACACACACACACACACACACACACACACACACACACACACACACACACACTCACACACACACACATACATACATACATACATACATACATACATACATACATGCATACATGCATACATACATACATACATAATTACTTTCTTAGCTACTAATTGACGATAATTTTAGTCATATCCGTATATGAGTATGCCAAACTTCGAATGTAGGTTTGTTCGATGATGACGACGACGATGACGAAGACGATGATAATTAGAGATGCACCGAATAGTGAATTTGACTGAATAGTCGCGAATAGTCGCGAATAGTCGCGAATAGCTGATCTACCATCCCGCCAAAGCCGAGTACCCAGTAACACAATTTAAAAAATTTTTTTTAGAATGTTAAAGAAGCTGTTGACAAAGACAGTTAGCAATTCATGTCTATCCAGTTTAACAGTTCTTTGCTAAGATAATATTCCAACTTTTGTTCAAATAAAGATGCTTTAACTAACAGCTATGATGGTTAAAAGCAATTTCCTAATAACTATGCTCAACAATTTACTGTTCTGAATTTTAAAAAGTGATGGTTTAAATGAAAATTGAACTTTTCAGCTAGAGGAATGTTATCAAATGAATGAGCAAACGAATGAATGAATGAATAATTGAATGAATGAATGAATAATTGAATGAGTGAGTGAATAATTAAATGAGTGAATGAATAATTAAATGAGTGAGTGAATAATTAAATGAGTGAGTGAATAATTAAATGAGTGAGTGAATAATTGAATGAATGACACGTTAATATGGCAACTAAAACGCATTCTGTTTACGTAAATTAAGACATAGACAAAATTGTTAAATTAAAAATTTGGCCTAAACCTGACATCAAGCCAAATTAGGGGATTGAATGCTACATGAATCTAGTAACTTAATTCACAATATCAGCTTAATTCACAATATCAGAGCCACATTCCAATGAATAATCGAGTTGTGGTTCCTAGTTCTTAATAATCATTATTCATGTCTCAATACTGAAAATGATAAATATTCTTGTTTCATTAATAAATACGGGGATTTACTGACTTTTAATGATAGCATTGCTCATAATGGGTCGACAGTAAGGCCACTTTAGCAACAGCTGCAGTTGTAATGTTCCAACTTAACGAGACAGAAATATATATTTAATTTCCTCTCGCTAGAGTCTGTCATTGAAACGAAATTTTTATCGGCTACTTGAAAATATTTCAAAACCTTAAATTTAGTTTTATTCGGATTCGCCACTCAAAAAATACAACAGCTGCTGCTATTACTACTACTAGTACTACAACTACTACTACTGCTACTACTACTACTGCTACTACAACTACTACTCCTACTACTACTACTACTACTACAACTACTACTACAACTACTACTACTACTGCTACTACAACTACTACTCCTACTACTACTGCTACTACTACAACTACTACTACAACTACTACTACTACTACTTCAACTACTACTATGTGTGTGTGTGTGTGTGTGTGTGTGTGTGTGTGTGTGTGGTGTGTGTGTGTCGTTGGTACTTATGAATGCAAAAGTGGGATTGAACTCTGTTGACCTCTCATACAATTTCATTTAAAAAATTTGTTTTCAGCTTTAGTTGAATCATCTTTTATTCAGTAATTTTTCAAATTTAGTTGGCTCTCACATTTTCACATCTTGTTCAAATTATTTAATTTAATTTAATTAATTCTAAGTTAATTAATCATTCAATTTATTTCTAATTGTTGATCAGTTGGTGGGGTTGGTACTTGGCTGAGCGATACGTGCCTATGTAGGATAGTAACATGAGACTTCATGCAAATGAGTTGATCAGTCATTCTAATTGGGATGGTTGTTGTTGTTGTTTATGCCAAAAGAAAGAGAGAGAAGGATTGGAAAAGAGAGAGAGAGAGAGAGAGAGAGAAAGAGAGAATGAAAGAGTGTGAGAATGAGAGAGAAAGAAATAAAAAGAAAGAATGAAAGAGTGTGAGAAAGAGAGAGAGAGAGAGAAAGAGAAAATACGAATGACAAAGAGAACGAGAGAAAGAAAAAAGAGAGAGAGAAGAAAGAAAGAGAGAAAGAGAGAGAGAGAGAGAGGATGTTAAAAGACAGGACACGAAAGTATGTTATAAACTGAAATGAAGTAATATTAAAAAAAAATAAATAGTGAATGAATGAAAGAAAGAAAGAAAGCAAGAAAGAGAGAAGATGGAATTAAAGAGAAAAAAAGAAGGAGAGAAAGAGAAAGAGAGAGAGAGAGACAAAAAAAGAGAAAAATGGAAAGAAAGAGGGAGAGAGAGAAGAGGAAAAGAGAGTACGGTGCATATTTTAAATGTGCGAAAGGACATATCCAAAGCTAATATTGCAAGTGAAATAGAGTAATAAAAAAAATGCACACACACACACCACACACTTTCACACACACACACACACGCACACACGCACACACACTTTCACACACACGCACACACGCATATAAATAAAGAGAATAGAGTTTGTTTTTCTGGCCAATTCAGATATCGGATATAAAATGAATTTTTGCTAATTTAAAAAAAAACATTAGATAATAGTAATAAATATAATTAATTTAATAATAATAATAATATAATATTAATAATAAATAAATATATTTATAGTGTCGAAATAATATTAATATTATAAGATTGAACATTACGGAGATAATGTACATGATTTTTATATTAAATAAAGACGTTTTACAGATATTTACAATTTCTAATCTATTAATTCATTTACTAATTCAATCAATCAATCATTCTGCATTCGTTCGTTCGATTGTTCGTTAATTCAATCATTCAATCTATTTCGAAGTTCTTAATAGTTAACACTGTTTTAAGACCCTTTACTCAAAACAAGTAAATAATTTGAAATTTGAAATGAAGTTGAAATATTATTAAAATTAATAAATAATAATAATAATACAAACAATAATATTTATAATTATTATTATGAACAATAATAGAAAATAATTTATTTATTGTTCCATGCTTTTGGTGGGTTGATACATATTTGTCTCTTTCTTAGGCCGTTCTTTGCAAAGATATTTCATTTTTTGATATTTCTCTCTACCCGTTTTCAATTAACTTTCTCTCTCTCTCTCTCTTTCATTCTCTCTCTCTCTCTCTCTTTCTCTCTCTCTTTCTCCCTTCTTTCTTCACTTCTCATTCTCTGACTCTCTTAAGACTGAAAAATTTTTTCTTGAAACTTTAAAGGATAAATTTAGTTTATAAATGTTTATCAATCCACTATTTAAAACATAATTTGTTTCTTTTTTAAATAATATTTATTAACATAATTATTATTATCAGCTATAATAATAATAATAATAATAATAATAATAATAATAATAATAATAATAATCAAATAATAATAATAACAGTTATAATAAAAAAGACACTTTCATATTGTCGATCGATTGACATACGAGATGAATAAGATGTAAACATATTTGTGAGTGTATGTGTGTGTGTTTGTTTGTATGTGTGTGTGTTTGTATGTGTGTTTGTTGGTATGTGTGTTTGTTTGTATGTATGTGTGAGTGTTTGCTTGTTAATTTGTATGTGTTTTTGTATGTATGGATGTGTCTGTGTACGTTTTTGTATGTTTTTTTGTTGTTGTTTGTATGTTTTGTAACGACAATAAAAACAACAACAACAACATCAACAACAAACATCAATAACAACAACAACAACAACGTCATCCACTGAAAATTTTGATCAATATCCTCTACTACCACAACTATTCTGAAAATCGATAGAAAACCTATCCATCTATTTGTGTGGGTTTAAAATAAAAGAAAAAACCACAACAACAACAACAACAACATCAACAACAACAACAACATCAACAACAGCATCATCAACAGCAACAACAACAAACGAGTGTAATCCGATAAAATTTTAAATGTACACTTTTGAAAAAATATACACATGCACAAAAGCAAACACACACACACACATACCTACACACACCTACACAACACACACATTCTCTTTCTCACACATACATACATCCACACACACACACACACACACACGAACAAAACTTTTTCACACACACACGCACATACAAATAAACACATACGCAACTTGTTAAATTCTTGAAACTTTTGTTAATGAGATACTGTGATTTTGTGACTTCTCAAAAATATAAATTGTAAGCCGATATTGAAACCACTGTTGACGCAACAACATCAAAACAACAACAACAACAACAACATCATCAACATCATCAACAACAACAACATCAACACAACAACAACAATACCATCACCACCAACAACAACGTCAACTACATCAACATCAACATGACAACAACAACAATAACAACACTTACACCAATACCATCACCAACAACAACGTCAGCAATAACAACATTAACAACAACAACAATACTTTTGTATCTTTTTGTTGGTCTTTATGAACGATCAGTCGGAACTAACAGCTGACAATAAATCAATAAAAAAAATTCCATTTAAACTAATTGAGGAAGTTAGACTAAATTCATCATCGTTATCATCACCACCATTATCATCATCGTCACCATCGTCATCACCATCGTCATCATCACCATCATCATTGTCATCATCATTAACATCACCATCATCACCATCATCATCATCAGCCACAAACATTGCAAATAACTAAATTGGGTAAAAAAGCAAGCGATATTAAGGATTGCATTATTTACGGAGTAGTAGTAGTAGTAGTAGTAGTACTAGTAGTAGTAGTAGTAGTAGTAGTACTAGTAGTAGTAGTGGTAATAGTAGTAGTAGTAGTAGTAGTAGTAGTAGTAGTAGTAGTAGTAGTAGTAGTAGTAGTAGTAGTAGTAGTAGTAGCAGTAGCAGTACTAGTAGTAGTAGTGGTAATAGTAGTAGTAGTAGTAGTAGTAGTAGTAGTAGTAGTAGTAGTAGTAGTAGTAGTAGTAGTAGTAGTAGTAGTGCCAGCGACTGCAATTGTAGTAATGGTATTGCTTGCCCATTTCGTGTGGCATTGCTTTCCGATTTGTAACAACTAAATACATTCTAATTTACCGTGATGTAACTCTATTTACATTGTAATGTATTGTAATTTTACAATAAATACACAGTAATCAATCTTTTGTTTACAGTTTTAAACTGTGTCTATTGTAATTTTACAATAAATACACAATAATCTATCTTTTGTTTACAGTTTTAAACTGTGTCTATTGTAATTGTAATTTTAAAATAAATACATAGTAATTTATGTTGAAACACGGTCACCTATTAAACATCAACATAAAGAAATGATGGGCGCGAAAAACATATGCCCATATCTAAATGAAATAAAATATTATTATAATATCATTATATATAATGACTTATCAGCATCATAAAGACTATATCGTTGC